GTAAAATATAAAAAAATGGCACAAAAACTTGGTAGCTTCAATAAAAATATATATATATATATATATATTCCACGAAACTGAAGCAGTTTTGACAGATCCATTGCAATAAAATAAGCTGTATGTACATAATTTACAAAACTTGGTACTACTATATTTAGAAACCTTGAACACTTGTGCACACATCATTTCACCACCGTTTCCTGAACAAGAAGCATGCATTCTTAAAATTATCTCTGAAACTAAGCATTTCAGAAAAATTTATCAATTATTGTTTACTGATTTAACTGAGTATAGGGCACACTAAAATGTTGATAAAGTTTGATCACCTTCAAACTCAAACTAAATAATAACTCTAAAATGTACAATTTTTATAGTTCTACATTCGTTTCCAAAACTGAATGTAGGTTACATAGCAAATTCGTTACACCGAAACGAAAACTTCATTTCGACATATATTTCGATTAATTTTCCATATATTAATTAATCGTAAAAAATATACCACAGCAATTAATTTCAACGTTATTTTTTACGTCATGATACAAGAAGAACAATGGCTTGTAATAATTCTTCGCAACAATTACAGTTATGCAATATCCTTATGCCTTCAGGCTTACAAACTTAAACGCAAAGATGCGAACGTTTACAACGTTAATTTTTTGTGCACTCATTGTCATAATTACGTTACAGTCATCAATATTTTTAGATTCGTCTTTTACTGATATTTGAAAGTTCTATTGTCTACAAAAATGGGTTCGGTCTTAAAATAAAAATCAGAAGTTACCCATCAAACGGGACTTTCAAACTATGGTGCGGCATTTTGGAGGTATCGATGACGGTGTGTTACCTTTTATAGATTGCCTTGTCCATGACGTCACCTCACGTGGAAAAAACTGATAATGTTATAATCAATCGCCACGAAAACTAATGAATCGGAAAGTGAAAAGAAAATGTGTGAAATTAAAATGGCTGTTCTGAATGAATTCAAATGTTGATTGGTACGGAAAATAAAATGCCATGTCACCTATCAACCAATTAAAATAACTCTATCATGAGCAAATTATAATATTAACCATTCCATTGACTGTAAATGATACCTAACAACTTCACCGTGCGGTATTGCTGTGTAATCGTCATTAGAAATTCTTTTTAGCATGCAAAATTATGCAGATATTCCATTAAAGAGAAACATTAGTCTGTGATACATCTTTTTTGCTCGACTGTCATTTGTTTGGCTGTTAGCACACAATTAATTTCGAAAAAGGATTCAAAACTCGTTTTGCAGTTCCAAAGTTCATCAGCTGTTATTTTCACTAACGATTTCAAGGTAAAAAGTGCTGTAGGAAACAGTCGTGGCTCAATAATAAAACTCATTTGACAAAGTAGATAATGATGGGGTGAAATGGATCACCAAGAATCCCACTGACTCATCCACGTGTCACTTAGTCATAATTCTTTGTGTTCTCGAAACGACAATCGCGCTGTTTACTTTATCAAGGGGCGTTTTTGTTTAGACTCTGCTGCCAATGACAAAATCTCCGAAATAAAGTACTAAGAAGTTGTGGCGGATGTGGCTTTTATTCTTGTGCATTATTAAAATAATGATACCAATTACCACCCACACTTTTATCATTTGAATAAAATTGTTTATCAAATTATCGCTTTCGAGCAAATAGGAAAATGCATGACTATCAAAAATGCAGGCTGTGTTGACTTTGGCTCATGGATATTATGGACGGCCAGGACATCGACTGAATTGATAATTGCGTCGTTTACAATTCAATTATTGATGTGTATTATAATAACACTGACACCATTGATAATTTTAGTTTGACGACTTTTAAAATCACGATTGGTATGTAGGCACAACGTGGAAACTTTTCGTTTCGAATCGGTTCAATTATGGATTTAAATCCGTGTGGGTTCCCAGGTGTCTGACCCATGAATAATCTTTTGTGCGTAATTAATAAACAATTACTACCATTATAACCTCCATGCAAATTTGATTATTCACTTTTGATGAGAATCGTAAATTTGCGGTGATTCACATGAAGACCTCATTCACGAATCTCAATTAGACAAAGCTATTTTCTTATTAATTGCTCGTTCATGAATATTCGATTTTTCTGTAAATTGTGGAATCCTAATTTACTTTGAGATAATCTCTATTTATAGTTGCATTTTTCAGAATTATGTAAAAAATTATTATCGCACGTTTGCCTTACAAACGCTAGACTGTTGGGCTACTTCAATTACCTCACCGGTAGGCGTTGATGTATGGTCGTGCAGACGTGTCCCAGTAGGTCGTGAAAGTGGATGGTAGTTTTGTAGTCATGTCTATGGGCGTTATTCTAAAAATACGCTGGAATTACGTTTTACAGTTAAAAACGTAGGATAGTATAAGCTGGCCACAAAGTAAGCAACGTGTGTAGGTGGGAGGCCAAACTATGCGGCTTTAAAAAATACACAAGTTAAAGGTGTAAGCAATATTTATTTTTTAAAAAAGCCATTTAAATACCAAGCAAAGTTTAACATGCCACTAATTTTTTACCGTGCAACAAGTCTCTCTGTTTGGAAGACACTAACACCTACATTGTTCTATGTAGATATTAATCTTGAGCAGCCTTGTATGGATACCAATGTCATGGCTACGTCATTTTCTCCTAGAAAAAAAAAATCATTTACATGCCGCATTATTAATTGATTAATGCTTCAAAATTACTGAATTGTTAGCTTGTCTGTCAGCTGAATAACAAACAAGAGATGTATTAATAATAATTAACCGGCTTTTATACAACAACCATTGAATATCACGCTGTTAGGTATATGATGGAAGAAGATCGGCGATGATTAACGGCTGCATGAGCAAAACAATCTTGTATTTACAAAGAGCAAGTCATTTCGTCTGGCGCAATAGAACTAGCATGAACGTAATTCATTTCCTTCAAATTTTGAATTATTACTCAGACTGAACAAAGTAGAATGTACTTGTAGCCATAAAGAAAAAATATAGCTCAAGGTTTAAAAAACTACCATCATCAAATATATCAAGGAGAATGCTCCAGTAAAGTAATAAAACGCAGGGACAATGATGAATAATACAGTTATGGTGAATAGACGTTTCATTTCATATACTGACTAAGTGATCTTTTCATTGATTTATTGAAGAGATAAATCGATTACTCACCTCCAAAAATAAATGCGTCTTGTAACTCCAAATATGATGAAAGCTCAAGTCATAATGATCTGTCACAAGTTCACTGAACTTTGTTCAAGAAAAATATTTTCTAGTAGAAAGAGTACTCAATCGGACAGGTGTTACATATGACAAAGAAACGATACTCGAAAATACTGTGCAAACGTTTATTATGGTAGTGACGCTTAGCAAATTTGCTTAACTGTCATCTCTTCTGATTACTTATTAACTGAGAGTCATTGATTAAACTTGATCTCATCGTGTGCCGTAAACAAGCAAACAAATCCGGGAAGAAGTTTCTACACCACTTACGCTGAATTAAAGAATAGGTCCCTTTGTACACCTTTGAGGGACGCGGTTTTATCATGATTTTGATTGATTTCTATTGTCCCCACATTGTTAAAACCGTTTCGAAATTAATGTTAAGCTTTATGCAAATCCACTGCTTCCCTTCCACTGGCATTTGTAAAGGTTACAAAGGTTGGTAATAATAATAATGATAATAAATTCTATGTCTTGCCCGACACATATCTATGTAAACGTGGAGTTAAAGATCACAAAAGAGATTGAAAGTCTGCCAAAAATGCTATCCGAGTGTTTTTCCTTTATTTCTAATTTGTATTTTAATGAGTTACTCTTGCCCCATCTTTCGGCGGTCTTGGTCGTCAAAGAACGCGTGCTGAGTGTGTGGTTAATAAATTTCGTGAAATTTTCTCCAAGAGTTTAATTTTGGGATTATTTATAGCACACCTTGTAACCATGATTATTATCTCGAGCCATTAACCAATTCACTTTTTCGGTCACGAAAGATAACGTTTAACACGAAAATGGTAGGTGTAAGTTTTAATTACCAAAATACTATTTACGTAATACCTAAAATATGACAATAAATTGTAACGCGATATGGCTGCGCATGTCATCGATGCTACTGAAGTATTTAAATTAAGATGTTTTCATGTGTTGTCGATTACAAAATTTGTTGACGTTACGTCAGTTGCACTTTTGCAACGGAAGAAATAAATTTCAAACATGAATATTCATGAAGAAATGGAGTAGATTAAGCCATAACCCATATAAGAGGCTGTTAAATGATGACAATGCTCATGGGTTTTGACTTTGGACACGAAATTTCGGAGTTGTTGAGGTGCGAGGGAACAATAAATCAAGATCAAAGCGAAACGAGCGTCTGCTTTCGCAGAATCTTTACTGTTTACGCAATTGATTTGCATTATTGAACGATGACCAGGGATTTGCATTTTATGTCTAAATATATCAGCGACTGTACCAAACGTGCGACTCGGTTGCCTTTTGGTGTTTTTTCATTTGCAAAATGGTAAGTGAGCCAAGGTTGGAACATTTGGAGCAACCTTTATCTAAGAATGTGATACAGCTTGCAGTTTGTTAGAAAAGTATCAATTCTGGTTATGACGTTCATCCACCAAGTGTTAATGATAATTAGAGGTTCTGTGCGATAAATCATGACTTAGACCACATTACTTAACTGAAGTAATTAATCTACGACTGTAGTATACATACATACGAAACCAATTACCGGCGATAAATAATGTTTCAGTTTATGAAAATGGTAATTTTTATTGTGTATGCAAACAATGTGACAAAAAAAGGTATGATTCATCAGACATTGTTGGTTCGAAGATCAAGGAAGGGCATATCAATAAAATCATTTTAGGGTCGTTCGTTAAGCAGATGCAAAGTGCTTACATTTACAAGATAATTCGGCTGGACGTGTCCTTTACAAGGTCTTTATGGCATTAAGCTTTAAGAGTGTATCATCCAAGTTACCAACCTTCCATTACCATATTAGTTCCAAACCTTACTTTAGAGGTGACTGGCACTCATTGCGTCTATAAATTCAATCCGTGCATTATAACTTGTCGGAAATAATAGTAGGTATAAGGCGAAGGCCATCTTGCACAGATTACAAACCACAATTAATTATTCCCACTTCCATTTAAAGCAACGACGTGAACTTTACAAGAAACCACACTAGAATTTTTTGGCTCAAGATCTCTACGGAGTAGGGATGCAGGATGATAAGACAAACAAATCCGCTCAAACATTACATAATTTTGCGAAGACCTCACTGTTTGTCAACGAGAATTACGTAATGTTTTGGTAGAGAAACCGCAGGTATTTTCAAAAATCGTCTTTAAATAGAACTGATACATAAATGCAAAAAGTGGTTAAGACAAGGTGTTGCATAAAACGTGTAGGTAAGTGGTTTTCGCGTAATATCCATATAAACTTCCTCGTGTTTAACGTATTTTGAAAGATTTGTTTGTAAATTCGTTCGGAGGCACATGTATCAATGTCGGATTCGCGAGACACTCGGCGCCTCCAAAAATTACCCGCGTGAAATATGGAATGCTGTAAATTAGTGTAATCTTGAAAAGATGTGCAAATAAAATATAAATAATTTGGTGGTGTAGTAAATCTGTAGAAACTCTTCAGGTGGTCGCTTTCCTTTCGCCAAAATTTCTATTTTCATGTAAATTTGTAAGAAATAAATTTACTATCGAATGTTAATATTAATGACACACTATATATTAGCAACACAGGTGCTTCTGTTTTTGAGAGATATCAAGAGATGCGTATATGTATGTACATACAACGAAAAGTTAAAGAAAAGTAATATGAAATAACTCATTTATTTACGTTTGTACATTATCTGGCTTCAAAGTAACGCATACAAGGTCACTAAAAAAGTATGAAATCGGTTAAATTCTATGGAAACTATGCGCAGTAAATTTTTGACATTTTCAACGATTTTTTTTTTATACAACAGTTTTTCTTTAGTAAGTCATGTTTTTTTGTCTGTTGTTTTATTAGAGGAATCTGATTCAAAATCAGACTTAGAGGATGATGATTATGACGACTCAAATTTGCACAACGCAATAATAGATGCTGAGTTTGAATAATAGGTAGAACTAAATTATTAGTATGACAAAATAACTAAAACGATTAACTTTACTTTTAGACAGTAGATTTACCATCCAGAAAAGATTATATACAGGCCTCCACAACACCCATGAAGAAAATGCAATGAAATAAATCTGTGCATATAAATCATTTTATTTACATTTTTTGTGTAGCATTTTTGAAAAATAACTCATTACTAGAGGTCATGGTCTATTTTTCAATAAACATCCGTTTAATAATTTTTTTGAGATGACGTCATCGTGTCTCTAGAGGGGGTAAATAAATATTGAACAAACAACAATTAAAAATTAACATGTTACGTTGACAAGTTAGACGATTTGATTTTGCGATTTTCGTTTTTGTGATCATCTCTATAAAGTAAAAACTAGCTGCATAAATAACACTTTCGTAGCACTTGCGCCAAAAATGTGCACTCCCATGTACGGACAATGTAAAATATATTTAAAACAGAAAAACAACAGGAAAGATATTCTGTCAGCAGTGATAACAAGCTTCAGTGTTTATGTTTATACATCGGAAGAATGTCACATTGAAATTAGTTTGATTTGACACAATATTCTGAATATTATAATTCTTATTTTATCATTATTATTTGATAGATTTGTTTACAGCTTCAAAAACTGGAGAAATGTAACATTTTGTCTGCTGAAGAAATCGTTTATATTTTTTAAAATTTAAATAATTCTAATAATATGGTCAATGTAGATGAGTCCAGTGAAGGATGCTTAACTTACAAAAACCACTGAATTATTATAATTCGTTTTAGTTCACTACTGATTTAAAGTTATTGCTTAAAAATAAAAGCATTACAAGTTTATCTGCGACGAATTAAGACATGAATATTAGCAACAAAAAAAAACAAGTTATCTGATAAAGATAAAACCCAATTAATTGCTTCTGTTTAAAACTGATATCGACATTTCTGGACATATCTTGCTCCTAATTATGTAAATAGTTGTCACCAGTGAATATAGTAAGTAGGTAAACTTGTTAACAACGCAAAAGCCACAGAAATAACCCCACAAATGACTTTTAAAACGTTTATCAATTAAATTTGTAAGAATAAAACCTGTCGAAGATTCAAAGGTTTGAAATACATTAATAGGTACCGTCTGCCACTTTTTTACTAGTCTAATCTTCTCTAAGAAATTAGACAAAAATTTAACATACGAGACCTTTGTACCAAAAATCATTTCTTACTTTAATTAATGATTCGTGATAATATAGTATACGAATTTATCTTCTTTATATTGTGATGCAAAAACCCGTGTGATTATTTTTAAAACTTAACCTAACCTAACGAACCCTGCCTGGTGTTCGCAATATTTTAAGACTTTTATGTGTTTATAATTTATTTGTGTAAGGAATACACAAAATGCAAACGTTGGTTCAGTTGTGTCTCCCAGCTTAAGGTTATTCAAGCATTCTAAGCGGGTTATCACAACTTTTTTTTGCATACTTTAACGTTAGATCCTACTACGTTAAATAACAAAAGCGAATTTTTTTACCGAAACAGGAATTTAAAAAATTATTTTTTTAACATTATATTGAGGATCACAGTTAAATATATGGAGATGCTTCAGTTTTAGGCTAAACATCCTGGTAACTGTTCTTCACATAAAGAACTCTGAGTAAGAAAATTTACTTTCGAAACCACCAACGCTTGGTTAAGAATAGGAAAAATGCTAGAACCAGTCCACTTGTTTTTCCTTGTCTTACATAGTTGTGCCTCATTGAACACGTGTATATTTTCAAGATACCAACGTACACCTGCTCTCTACGATGTCACATATTTCTGAGTTTTAGCTTTTTTGCGTCCTCTGTGTGTAATTCATAATTCGCATTTCGATGCAAATCTACAACATTTTTGATAATAAAGATAATTTTTATAGCTTAATATCTAGGTGGCTTTCAGAGCAAGGTATTAAGGTTCTAAGTAATCCATAAAAAATCGCCTTGATATTTTGATCTGAGCAAAATCATTGCTCTTTTTACACTAAATTTTTACTGCTTAAATGGCTAACGATGTCCAACAGTTTTATGCAGATGCATGATTTATGCGATCTAAATCCTCATTTTAGGCCAAACACTTCAGGGGACAGATAATATTAGCGATGACTGTAATAAAACTTATAAAAAGTGTGTAGGTATTAAAATTGCCATTTATCATTTAAATCGATAATCATAAATTTCGTTTTAAAGGCATTATCAAGCGGTAGGATATAAACGATGCAATTATCGATATTACTTTTTTATTTGCTACAGTGTTGTCATTGTTCAGCGTACATACACCCTGCGTTTATAAGAGAAGATTGACACAAGTTAAAACTTAATAATGCATACTTGTAGGTTTAATGAAAAATATTTAATGTGACAAGTCACATTTTTTGACATGCCTTGGAAAACATCTTGTCCACATCTACATATCTGAATTTTAATAGCTAATTTAGAATATTAGATTATTAGAATGACATGGTCGTGAACTTAATTAAAAATGACTGCATATTGCGGAGGACGTTTTGTAAAGGGATCATAAAATATTGCGACAGCCCAGAAACTTGATCATTAAACGGAATATCATTAATTCATTAATTGAATAATATTATACACAGGAACAACCTGTAAGTGTAATTAGATTTTCCTGGTTACAGCTGACATGTTAATATTTAATTTCTCTTACATCAGTACATTAGTTAAAGGAAATACTCCGATGACCTTATTACAATAATTTGAAATTTTGTTCTCAAAACAGTGATAAGTGGCTCCTTTAATTATCTTTTTTTCAAGTATGTACTTACTCGAGTGATCATGGCTTTTTATAGTTATGACAAATAATTGTATGTTTACTTTTGATGACATGTTTAATAGCTGGTTCTTCAATTCTACAAACTCACATATCCATCCATAACCAATAATTTGTTGTAACATTAAGTAAATTTTGCAGTACAGCAATCGTTATCTGATAATAGTTACAAATCATTGTACAAGGCTTCTGACAATTGCTCAAGGATGTTTTTGAGCGTATTTGAATCTAAAATTCATACCAGGCGTAGAGCAGGTACTCCTACTTTTTTGATTCAGTTAAAAAACGGCCTAAAAAATTTCTGCCATCTGTGTTTTACTAACATAGAAGGTGTTTCATGAAGATTGTTTTCTTAAGACTTTATTTACGTTACGCCAAAAAGAGAGCAGAAAGCAACAAATTACTGTACAAAGAAGACATCTGCAAAATAGACATAAATTCCTAACACGTTTCGCTCATAAATTTATTACGTCGCTTATTAATGTAATTGTTAAGGACATGACGAGATCAACACTAATCGTGAGAAAACATTAATCGTCTAATTTGTGACTTGATTTCGCATGCAAAGTGTCATAACTACGTAGTTGTTGTTTATGATGGTATTTCTTAGACTTCTTTAGAACATTTGTACTACGAGTGAGCGACTTGGAGTCGTAGTACTTCTACGAATAGTGATTATTCATAAATTATCCGCCTTAACAGGGGAATGACAGTTTGTAATGTCACGAATAAAACAACAAATTAAAATTTTGTCATCGCTTAGCTAAATATAAAAATGGAAACTAATTAAAAATTAAAAATAAGTAATAACAATTAATATTTCGAAACAGTCGTTATCTCTATGTGATGATAATACCGCTTAAACAATCAATTTTAAAGATGAGCTCTACAATAATGTTTGCTGGATATTTATAGACTTAAATGATTTATTTGTTTGCGTAGCACTCAGTTTGGTCTGATGCACAATATTGTTGCGGCAAAATTATACTACAATAATTAACACCGGCTTCTTATTACTTGATTTAACAGCTGTCTTGTAAAAGCAACTGTATAAAATATTTTTTTTTGCATTAGAGTCAATAAGTATCCACATTCCTATATAAATGCATATACTTAATATGCCAACTACTCATTTAAAATGTGAGAATGAGCAGTGCACGACACACTGATTATGCGGAAGTGTCATAAGTAGATCTGTTTGTAGTTTAACTGAAGATAAACTGTG